GGGGGCGGCGCCGCGCCGCTATTGGCCACGCGGGCCGTCACTCCGCCGGGGAGCGGCCCCGCCCCGGCGGGAGGCGGCCTGAGGGGGACGGCGGGAAGCGGCGGGCGCGAGGCCGCCGCAAGGACGAGGCCGGACACAGCGGTGCAGCGCGGCTGCCTCCCCAGCCGTTCACCTTTATTGATGTGGATAAATACACAGCGAGACAGCGCCCGCGAGCGACCGAGCACCGCAGGGGTGTGTGTGGGGGGGGGAGTCTTGACCGAGCGCCCGTGCCCGGAGCAGCGCGGCTGCAGCCCCGGCATGGGGCCACGGGCACCCGGTAGCCCTGAGAGAAAGAGGAGAGGGGGGAGCAGGGCTGGCGAAGAAGCCCCTGCCTGTGCCCGGCCCCCGCTGTGCCCGGGGGCTTTAAAAAGTGCCCCCAGTTTCAATATTTAGAAAGGGTTAAGAGTAAGGGGTAGAAGCACCTTCCTGAGGCGGCTCTGGCCTTGCTCCGGGGCAGGGAGAAATAGGCAAGCAGCTGGAGCTGGAAAAAGACAGTCGCTTCAAGAGGCCCTGGAAAAGCTGCTGTGCTTCGGCAGGCCCTGACGCAGCAGGGAACCCAGAGAAAGGCCAAAGAGGGGTCCAAAACGCCCCTGGTACCCAGGCCCAGCCCTGAAGGCGCCTCCCGGGCACCAGAAGGTACCGGAAAGGATCCCAGCAAAGGCGCCAGCCGCAGCTCCCCTGGAAGGGAGATCCAGCCTCAAGCGCCAGCTCTGCGCCTCACATTTCCCTGCGGTGCTCGCCCGGCTCCGGCAAGGGCCGGCCCTGCTGCTCGCTCCTTGAAAAAACAGAGCTGGATCCAGAACAGAGCTTCGGCAAAGCCGACGGAGACAGGACACTTGCTCGAATGCGGAAGAGTAGAATCCAAGAACAAAACAAGCCAGCTTTTCCCAAGGCTGGATTGGAACTTCCCACCTCTGGCTGGATCCCCCCTTCCAGGACCTAGGGAGCCGGGAATCTCCTGACAAGCTTTGCTGGAGCCCAGGTGGGAATTCACGCCTGTCCCCGGGCCGAGGAGGACCGGGGCTCTGCAAAAACTGCCCTTCTCACCCCTTTTCACCTTATTTCTCAGCCCCCACGCAGCTCCGCTTGGATCAACCCCACGCGCCTCCCGACCACGGCCACTCAAGTGCTCCTTGTTGCCGCCCGCGCCAAGCGCCGATTCCCAGGCTCCGCACCTTCCCGCTGGGACGGGCTCCCGGAATTTGCACCACGCTGCTACCCTGCGCACGAGGCAGCCCCTACGCAGTAGCACCCGCCCCAGACAGGCGCCCACTCCACGTACGAGGCCCCTCGTCCCGCAGCAGGGTAGCCACAAGCGGCCAGCGCGTCCCGACCCTCTCCCCTAAGAGGGGACAAGGGCCCCCCAAGGAGGCCGCTACCCAGATGCTCCCGCGACAGCCCGACGCTCCCGCAGCCCTTTCCGTGGCTCCGTAACCTCACGCCAACGCTGCCCGCTCCTCGCCCGGCTCACGGCCCCGTCTCCCTCTGCAGCCCCAGGAGCGGAGAGGCGGCCGCGGCTCTGTCTCCATCCCGGCCCCGCCACCGAGGGAACAGAAAGGACAACAGGCAAAGTGATTCCCGCAGCTCCTGCCTTTTCCACGCACCGCCCCATCCATCCATCCATCCATCCATCCATGACCTGCTTCCAAACCGCTTCCCGGCACCAGCGGCTCCCATGGAGCCCCCGACGCAGCCCGCGCCCTCCGCCAGGCTCCCTGCAGCACCTGCCACCCTGACAAAAATTAAAAAGAACACTAAGATATAAGTTACTGCTTAAATTATTTGTAAAATGTCTTAGATTTTTCTGTGACACATTTTAAATACCCCCCAGGGCCCCCTCCCCACTACACGACTTCGGTTCCAGCAGCGAGAGCCACCAGCCCGAACTGGAAGCGGGCGAGGGAGGGCGCGAGGACCAGAGAAAGGGTTTTTCTCCTTTCACAGCTTCGACACCTCCGCGCTCTAAATACCGATAATAAAAGTTATAATAAAATAGTTTGTGTGAGGCAGTGGAGACCAGAGAGCCCTTTCCGTGCCCTGCGGGGGCAGCCCGGGGGGCGAGGGGGGTCAGGCTCGGCTGTACAAACTCAGTAGTAAAAAGGGCTTTTACTTGGGGAGCGGGGGCAGCGGCGGGGGCGGTTCCGAGGGCAGCGGGGGCGGTCGGGGTTTGTCCGTGTTGGCGCCGCGGGAGCCGGCGCCCGCCCGCGGGTTCAAGTACTCGCCGTAGGAGTGGAACTCGAAGGCCGGGCCGGCGCTGGGCTGCATGCCCTGCGCGCTCAGCAGCGAGTGCAACATGTTCACCGTGTCCTGGTAGTCGCTGGCTTGGCCGGCGTTGTGCCCGTTGGCCCCCGCGGGGCCCTTGTCCAGTTTGCCGTGCGCGGCGCGGCCCTTGGCGGCCTGCGAGAGGGAGAGCGCGGCGGCGTCGGGCGCGTGGGCCGCGCCGTGCGCGTAGGCGAAGGGCAGCGCGGCGCCCTTGGAGCTCTTGCCCACCTTGGGCTGGTGCTCGTGCGCCGTGGCCTCCTCGGGCAGGGGTCTCTTGCGGGACGAGCCGGCCAACGCGTAGCCCTTGTGGGGCCCGGCGCCCGCCTGGCCGCCGTGCTTGGAGTCCCCCGGGCGCTTGCTGGCCGCGGCGCTGGGGCCGGCGCCGAGCGGCACGTGCAAGTGTTTGTGCGAGTGGTGGTTGTGGTGGTGGTGGTGGTGGTTGGAGGAGTGGCCCTTGTGCTTCTCCTTGTGCTCGCGGGCCTTGGCGCCGCTCTCGTCCGCGGGGCCGTGCCGCTCCGCCCCGGCCGGCACCTTGATGCGCATTTTTATCTCCTCCTGCTTGGAAGAGAGCGGCCTCTCGCCGCCTCCGCCCGCCACCGGGATCCTCAGCTTGAGGGCCGAGGCCTTGTCGCTCTTGTCGGGGCCGGAGCGCTCGGCGTTCTCCGCGGCGATTTTGAGCACGAGGGCAGAGGCGTTGCCGTCCTGCTGCACTTCCCTCTCGCGCTGCTGCTGCACCAGGAGGTTCTGCGCCGCGTAGGCGTATTGCGAGCGCACGTTGGCCTCCATGTTCTCCAGCTGGCGCTTCTGCGCCGCCAGCTCCTCGGCGTGCTTGGCCCGGTACTCCTTGAGCGAGACCTTGGCCGCCGGCGCGTTCTTGCCGCTCTGCTTGGGGTACGCGGCGCCGTCCTGCTGCGACGGGTGCTCGGCGCCCACCGAGCTCTCGCTAGTCCTGTGGCCCTGGGCACCCTCCAGCTTGGCGGGCGGGTGCTGGGAGAGCCAGGGTTCAGCCTGGGATGTTTCGGCAGCGCCCGGCTCGCCGGGCGAGTCGGCGGCGGCCGCCAGCGCCGGCCCCGCGCCGGCCGTGGAGGACGTCGACATGCTCATGAGCCCCGCGATGTTCATGTCGGAGCTGTTGTTCCTGGAGATCATGTTGAGGATGGTCTGCTCCGAGAGGCTCTCGTCCTCGCCGTGCTCGTCAGCCTTCGACTTCTTGGCGGCTTGAGAAGCCTGGAAGGGAAGCGGGGGGCGGTGACGCGGCCTGCGCTGTCCCCATGCGAGGGGACAACGCGCGAGTCCGACCCCTCCTTGCAGCAGGAGGCCCGACCCAAGCACGGCAGCAGGGAGACTGCAGCCCTCGGAACAGCAGCGTCTTTATGGATCTTTATCCATTTTATCTTTATGGATGTCGCTCCAAAGCAGTGAGCTCCGATACTGCGGAGCCCCGCTGCAGACCCCCAACACTCAGATTTCCCCCCACACACAAGCCCTTGAGCCCCCGTCTTGTGTTTCAGCCCTAGAGAGGCCACGTGGCCTCATGCACCCCTAAAAATTTAGGGGCTTGGGCTTTCCCGCGAGCGGCACCAGCCCAGGGCAGCCTCTTACCCGCCAGTTCCGGATGCGTTTGAGCCGGTTGGGAGTTTTCTCGAGGATCTGCAGGAACTCGTGCGTCAGTTCTGCAAAAGGAGACACAAACACAGGCGGCGTGGTTAGGGCCACCCAGACCTGGCCTGGCCCAGCAGGGCCGCCCCCTGCTCGATGGAGCTACGGATGAGATGGAGCTATTCCAGGAGGGGGGAATACTGCCAGCTAGCACCACTGACCACATTTAATCTCATCTCACTGTGTGCCGTTTGCCACCTCTACTGTGCCATAGAAGCTGCTGCGCTGGAAAAACCTTGGCAAGACCAGAAACCCTGGAGTCCATGGAGCGGCCAGGGGCCGTGTTGGAGTGGCTGCCCCAGGAACAGAGATGCCCAGAGCATTTAAGAGCCTTTCGGGGGGGACCTCGCTCCACAACTTACCATCTAAGAGCTCCAGAGTTACAGTGCCATCAACGTATTCCCACCAGTGCTTCCCGTCCGTGGAGACTGGGATCTCCCAGTTGGACCACTTACAAGCCAGGTGGATACAGACGCAGGCCACAACGGGAGGCGTGTACTGCAGGCTGAAGGTGGTCAGGTGCAGGCTGACGACACCAGCAGGGAGAGAGAAACAGAAAGCCATCAACTCCCAAGCCTGAACCTCAGCACACGCAACCGCCCGCTGACCGGACACTGCGGAAGAGGCGGCGGGGAGGCTCCTCCCCAGCGCAACCCGAGCGCGCGGCGGCTCCGGGGCAGCGCCGGAGCGGCAAGGCACAGTGCTGGGACCCTCCTCGGGGGCGGCCGGGGGAGCTGCCAACCCCTACCCTCTGTCACGGGCTCCGGGGAAAACGCTCACATGTTTCCAAGCGGGAAGGCAACGCGGCTGGGAAGGCCCCTGCCAAGGGCCGCAGCCTGAAGGAGGAAGCTCCTGGGATCCGCGCTCGGCCCCTCGGCTCTCCAGAGGGATACAAAGGAGCCAGGACACGCGTTCGTGTCCAGAGGCACCGTCTGCCCTCAGGGGTGAGGGCTGCTCCGCAGCCAAGAGCGGAGTCCGCAAGGATCCATGCAAACGACACTTCTTTTTCCTGCTTCCCGAGTTATCCCGACTCGGATGCACAGCAGGATTTGGCCTGTTCTGTGCGAAAGCTCCAGCACGGCTCCCAGGCCTGAAAACGCACGCGCTCAACGGGGCACCTGCCTCCCCCAGGCATTTGGGAAGGCTCTGGCCTTGCCCAAAGGATCCTTTGGGAGAAAGGACTGAAATTCCCGCTGCAAATCACGGGAGCTCCAACGGCTGCCCGCAAAAACCTTCCCGCAACACCCGGAGCTCCAGGCAGCCCCGGGGCAGCTCTGCTCTCCCTCCGGAGCCGCCACGATGCCAGTTGGGATGCTCGGAGATTAATGGGAAGCCCGGACACCTTCCGAGCGAAATGGCTTTGCCAGGTGCCGGTTCGGACGTCCGAGCTGGGAAGAACGGCCTAGGGAGCGTTAAGAACACGAATGATCCCGAGCCCGTCACCGTGAGGAACCTGGAGCGGCCGTTTGCTCCGAGAACACCGGAGCACCCGGGAATGCCGGGATCGCTACAGCCCTCGCTCGGAAAATCCCGCGCGGCAAGTTCCGCAGCGGGTGCGCCCGGTGCCACAGCAGCACCCAAGGGAATCAGTGCTTTAAAAGGTGCTTTCTGGGAACGGCAGAGCCCGGAGCAGCGGCGGGATGGCAACATCGGCACACGTGCAGCATGCCCGGGGTACTTTTTCTACATTTTCTACCATTTTTCTAACATTTTTTCTAACATTTTCCTACCGGAGCGTTGTGCCACGATCCACAGCCCGAAAATCCACAGCCTCTTCCGCGAGCTCACGCTTAGCCCCACACCAAGAGGAGCTTCACGGCACAAAAAACAACTTTGTCCAGGTAGCCCAGGTAAGAGGTGACATCAAGGTACACAAATCGCCTCGACTCTGCCCCGTAACGATGCCAGAAAAAGCTAGAAATCCGTAGCTACACCTGATCAATCTAGCTCTTCCCTCGAGTATCTTATTACATTAAGCTCAAGTATCTGCACGGCATCACTTTGAGGCAAAACTGAGGCTGTCTGGATCCGCTTCTTTCTTACTTTCACCTTATATAAAAATACATATATTATAGATATATATTTTTACATAAGTAGAGCCTTAACTCACACTTCTTTGGCTTTGCAATTATTGCTGCAGGAATAAAAGAGGTTTCAAGTAATATATATATTACTTATATATTGCTAATGTCGCCTTCCCTAGGGTAGGGAGGAAACCCGCAGCGCCCCGCGGCACCGTCACAGCATCTTCCAACAGGGCTCTGCCCCCTTACCTAGAACTTGAAAGTAAATAACACCAACCACACGCTCTTAATACCACGGGTTTAATTAAAAGCACGCACTTTATCCTTGTGAAACCAACAGTTACCCTCGACTTAAGAGGACAGGAGCCTAACCCAGGCTGTCAGAGCTAGGGATCCTCTCACATCCAGAACCCCTTCCTCGGAAACACGGAATCTCTCGTTTCCTCAAGCTCCTCTTTTCCAGGTATTAACTCCACAATTTGCCTGCAGCTGCCAAGCCAGAAAGGAATCGGTAATGCCAGAACCCACGGGAGGAGGGTCGATAGCAGCGCGACAGGGAGAATCCAGGCGTCACCTCACAGCACTAGCGGGTCCCCTCAGGGTGAAAATCCCCCGTGGCTCCTTTTCCAGGCACTATACACTACGTTACAGACCCTATAGACGCTCTCTGGGGTCATTCAGGCCAGACAAGGCACTCGTTTCTCTTTCAGAACCTTCCATATCCGGATACAGCTCCCGTTTGGCTCGAAAATGGTCCTCTTTGGGTACAGAACGTATTTGCTCGCAATTTGCGCAGCACCTGACCCAGGGACAGTCCCCTCGCTGACCCCTGGGTACCAAATAAACCAACCCAAACATCTGCACTTGGAGTCCCTCCCCTGCAACCGCCTCCTGAACCTTCCACAAGGATGCAACTCCCAGGAAAAAGCAGGCAGTGACGTTCCGGAACGTCCTCTCAGCTGCCCCACCTACATAACTGATTTTTTGCACCTGTTTTTCTTGGAAGCTTAAAAAAACAGGCACTTTTTTTGCCTGCTGAACAGCAATCCCCTGTCGCTCACACCACCAGTCCCCCAGGGATGACCTGCTGACCATCTACTCCAGACAAAACCCTCTGCCAAACACGAAGCAAGGGTAAATAATAACCTGTTGGTAGCCATGAAATAGGAAGTTTGGGCCAAGTCCTTGCTGGCTGGAAGAGAAAAAGAAAGAGCAGAGAGTTAGTCGTGGGCATCCCGAGAATCCCTATTCCATTTCATTGCAAAAAACCACGAGGTTTTGGTTCCCAAAATAGGAAAATTAGGAAGGTTTGGCTGCTGCCTCCTCTTACCTCGCACTAGCTGCGTGCACTTCACCACGTGGGTGTGCGGGTGGTCGATGGTGATCTCGAAGCCTGCAGGGACACAGACACTGGCCATCAGGTAGCGAGGGGCACAGCCCGAGAGCCACCAACCTCCCTCCTACAGCCCCGCTCCGGGCGGGAAAACGGGAGAGCCTCTTCCTTCATCCCGGAGATTCCAGCCCTCTGGCCACAAAACCTGAGGGTTGGGGCTGCTGCGAGGCCCCGAGCAGCTCAGTGATTTCTGGGCTTGGATGAACTCGCTGAAAACAAGACAACTATGAAAGATTTTTAAAAATAGCAGGAGAGAGCCCCTTACGGCAGCTGGGAGGAAGGAGAAGACAATGGCATTTGCTCACAGGAATTTCGGTCACCCAAAAAAGCTAAGAGGAAGCAGACGTCTTCCCTTTGAAAGGGCCTGCCGCATTGAAGTCACGGAATTAAATCCTTGCTTCAGTTGCCCATTTTGTTTGTACGTTACGGCTTAAAGGAAAAAAAGAATATATCAAATTGGTCCATGTGTGCAACAGATTTGGCTTTTTCCGTGCAGAATATTCTAGATGAAGTGGGAAGTTTAAAGAAAAGACCAAAAGCAACTTTGTCAAAGTATTAACTTCGACCTGGGTTTTGTTAGACATCTCCTAGCGCAAAGAGCTTCGTTCCTGGTCACTAAACTAGAGGATATTCAAATTTATCAGCACAACGGAGCACAGCGACCCATGTTTGAGCACAACAAACCTGTTGGAGAAAGAGGGGAAAGACCCGAGCCACGTTTCCACATTTTAACTTTCCTAACGCTAAACTTAATGCAAATTAAACCTGAAAAAAATCTATAGATATCAAAACACAACGAGTGGGGACAAAAAACCCAAGACCTTATGGCTTTCCCACTGGCCAGATGTGTTGGCACCCTCCAGCTGTGGAGGGGACTGGGCTGTTTGGGACCCTCTGCCCTGTGGGCCAGCCCTGGGGGCCTTGGGGCAGCTTGGAAAGACTTACCCAGGGTCTGCAGGATGATGCTCTCCAGAATGACCAGGTCTTGGGCTTGCTGCAGGTAGGCCTGGGGGTGACAGGACACACAAGTTACTGCCCATTTCTAGCACCGCTTTCTCAAGCGAGCAAAAAAAAAAAAAAAAAAAGAAAAAACAAAACTAAACAAAAAAAAACCACCCAGCAGAGGGGAGTCTTTATGTCCCATTTTGGGAAAACTGGCTCTTTTCCCTGCTGGGAAAGGGGAGCATGGAAGGGACCTGCTCCCTGGCAGCTCCTGTTCTGGGGTGGCGGCTCCAACTGCCCTGGCCCTCCTGGTCCTCGGTCAGGGGGATGGTGACGGCAGCGGGACAGGAGGGACTTGGCCTTTTCCTTAAGTTTTGGCGCCTTCGGAGCTAGCTGCTCAGGGGCAGGGAAGTGGGGCTGTCTCCAGAGACAGGGAATTGTCAGCGTTTCTAATAACCCCCCATTAAACCAGCAGGCATCAAACCCCACGCGTCACCATCCACGGACACTCTGTCATCCCGGCAACCAGCACCCACGGACACGGTCACCGGGCACATCCCGGGCGGCCACGAGAGGCGGCCACAGACCGGGAAACAAAATCCTGCCCTCCAAAACCCTCGGGATGCTGAGGAGCCCCAAAACTTCCCATCTCTTAAGAGCCACCGGGCAGAGCTATAAGAAACTGTCCTACGGCTGTTTAAAAGGGGGGTATCGGCCGGCCCAGGGATGCCAAAAGAGCCGGTTGTCCCGCCGTGGCCGCCCCCTCGGCGCTCACCTCGCTCCGCGTGTCCAGCAGGGTCTCCAGGGGGTGCAGACACGCGTGGGCCACCTTGATGACGTGCTCCAGCTTCCGAGGCTGCTCCTCCACCTTGGCCGCCAGGAAGAGAGCCGCCGGCGCCACCGACTTCGGGGAGCGGGGAGGCAAAAGAAGGACCTTGGCGTTAACTGCCCTCTAAACAAACACGCTCGAGACCAGAACAAGTTGGGACCGTTTATTGTTGAACGGGGGGGAATAAAAAGAGCGCGGGGGGGAATAAAAAGAGCGCGGGGGGGAATAAAAAGAGCGCGGGGGGGAAATAAAGCCCATGGAAGGGGCCCGCGGCGCCCCCCCCTCCCCGCGTCCCCCGGTGGCCGGGGCAACGGGGCACTTACGTTGCGGTGGAACTGCGTGAAGGACTGCACCATGTAGAAGCGGTGCATGTACACGATGGCCGTGTTGATGGTGAGCTGCGAGCTGGCGGCGCCGTTAAGGAAAGGGCCCCCCGCGCCGCCATGGCCGGCCTCAACCCGCCCCCCCCCCGCCCCGTCCGTCCCCGCCACCCCGCGGCACTCGAGCGCAGGCCGCGCGGCCTAGCGCGGGCCGGATACACGTTGAGGCGCTGGCCCATGTCCTGCAGCAGGTTGGCCGCCTGCTGCCGGTACGAGAGCTCCTTGTCGGGGTCGAGGCCGGCGCGGCGCGACGGGCTGCGCTCCAGCTGCTCGCGGCTGAAGTACCAGCGCCGCGCGGCCCCGCCGCCCGCCGAGGCCTCCATGGCGATCCGCGCCCGCGCGCGCACGCGCTGACGCACGCACGCACGCACGCACGCAGTGACGCACTGCGCCGCGGCCGCGCACGCGCCGACGTTGCTCCCTAGCAACGGCGCGCGCATGCGCCAACCGCTCCCCCCGCCGCCTCGTACACACACAACCCGGAAGTGGGAGGGGGCGGGAAGAGGGAGCGTGACGCCCCGCTCCCCCCCCCACCGGGGGCACACAGTGACCCCCGACCCGTGACCCTTGACCCATGCCCCCCCATTATCGACCCTAACCCACCCCCCCATAGGCCAGGCCACGCCACGTATGGAAAGTGCCTTTATATATAATTTATATGTACAACGCGCGGGCAGAGGTACCGTGAGCGCCCCCCCCACTGCACCCCCAAAACCGCCTTAATAATAATAAAAAAACCCACTTCATTAAAGTTTTTTGCACTGAAAAGGGCACGGGGGAGGGGAAGGAGCACCCAC